GCCTCCGGGAGCCAAGAAAGCGGCAGGCTCCGCTAAGACTAATACTGGCGTGTAAATGACCCAGAGAAATAGCAGACGACCCCTGATGAAAAGACGGCAGAGATAATAGCAGCCGGTGTATGAGACGAGGAGCCGGGCTCACACTCCTAAAAATAATAATAATAATCGGCCCATTTCTCGCCTCTCAGGAGAATCAAGATAAATCTGCCTTTAGGAGGGCAGTTTCTGCAGTATTTGGCTGGATGGATTTGTGAGTTGAGGATCTGCTGAAGCCATGTGAAACAGTGATGGTTTAGGGTGTCATGAAGCTCGCAGTGTTACTTCATGCATGAAAAGTCAATTAAATGAATGCATGAAATTGCAATGATACAAATGTTTCTGTATTGGCAAACTTGTTACTGAAATTGCATTGGAGCAAAATATATATAAGCTGCTCAAAGTTTTTTTTTTTGCCTCTCAGGAGAATCAAGATAAATCTGCCTTTAGCAGGGCAGTTTCTGCAGTATTTGGCTGGATGGATTTGTGAGTTGAGGATCTGCTGAAGCCATGTGAAAAAGTGATGGTTTAGGGTGTCATGAAGCTCGCAGTGTTACTTCATGCATGAAAAGTCAATTAAATGAATGCATGAAATTGCAATGATACAAATGTTTCTGTATTGGCAAACTTGTTACTGAAATTGCATTGGAGCAAAATATATATAAGCTGCTCAAAGTTTTTTTTTTTTTTTTTTTAAGATATTAATACTTATATTTAGCAAGGACACATTAAATTGATCAAAAATGACAGTAAAGACATTTTTAATGGCACAAAAGTTTCAAATAAATGCTGTTCTTTTGAACTTTCTGTTCATCAAAGTATCATGAAAATAAAAAAAAGTATCACAGTTTCCACAAAAACAAGAAGCAGCACAACTGTTTTCAACATTGATGATAATCAGAAATGTTTCTTGAGCAGCAAATCAGCATATTAGAATGATTTCATGTGACACTGAAGACTGGAGTAATGATGCTGAAAATTCGATAAATATTATATTTTAAATATTATAAATACATATTGTATAATATATTATAAAATATTATTATAAATTATTAAATAATGGTAATACAATGTTTAACAAATTACATTATAATGAATTCAGTTATATGTTAGATATTTAAAAATATGTTTTATTTCAAATTTGTATATATGTATATATATATATATATATATATATATATATAAAATGTAAAAAAAAACTGCATTTATCATTTGCGATACAGTGTAGACATCAAATGACTGTTTAATTTTTGTGATGAGTTCATATGAAAAACAAATAAAAATGCAATAGAGCTATGAAAAAATGGCTTAAAGTTAAACAGAAGCAGTCTTGTGACCATTATACAACTGGTGATTCATTGAATGTTTTTTAAAAATCATTATTGAATTACTTTGTTATAAACTATATATTGTTTGTAGGTTATTGCATTTATTGGGTCCCTAGTAGCAGGGACAAGTGCTACAAGTATTAGATTCTGTATTGTCCCCATCAAATAAATAATAAATAGGATAATCTAAAATATGCAGACTCATCCTGTGTAAGCACTCAACCCAATCCGAGGCTTCAGTCATGTGACAGAGAATTAAGATCCTGAAAGATTCACCTACTTAAATACTACACTTTTTTTTTTGATTTGTGTAAGGATGCAATAAATGTTTAGTATGTTTCCCTTTTATAGCCTATGCATTGTTTCATGTCACAAATACAAACATGCTTGTCATCAAATACCTGTGCTATAAAATGACAGTTAATAAGCCTACAATAGTGAACATACCCAGTCGGACAAAAAATTACCATTTAGGAAGCTCAGTAAAGCGGTCTATTGTTAGGCAAGACGGAATTACCTGCAGTTTCATCACATCTCCACACGCAGGGGCACCAACCAACCCTGTGCCCACATTCTTGGCATTTTTATCCAAAGACCCTACATTTCTTGGGCTCTCATAGTGGTCCACAACCTTTAAAATAAAAATAACTTTCAAAGGAGGGGCCAACGGAGTAATTTGGCTCAAAAAGTCAGGATCCTGTGTCAGTGCATTTTATTGTTATACAAACGTCCATGCTGCTCCCCAATCTCTCCCATTTTGACCTAGTTATTTGTGTACGAATTCAGCCAAAATACTAATTACTAAAAACGATGACTTTACATGATGTCTTATACATAAATCATGGACTCGTACATAAAATAGTTAGTTCATTCTTAATTCTTCAACTTATACTAAATGTGATCTCAAACCATATAAACTGACTTCAATTAAAACAAAACAATTTGAAACTCGCTATGTCACATGTTAGTGGTGTTAGTCCAGTGCCAATACTGTCATTATGTATCACGAGATGTCAGACACACAGGAAATCACTTAAAGTAACGTACATAAGGTCAAAGCGAAACACTTTACTAGCAAATTGCATAAGTCATACTAGCTTACCTTCTCGTGATACCCACATTGCATCCACAACTGAGGAGCTGAAAGCGTCCTGAAAATGACCGGTAACGCGCACTTCTTCACAAGCAAAGCCGCCATGATATGTGAAGCGATGACGCACTTGAGAACTCAAATAGCGGATTATACGCCATTTAGTCTCGTAGGTTTCTACGATCATCGCGAGATGTGAGACAAGCGGAGCGCAAATTTTATGTTCAAATTAGTTTGATACCTTTATTATTTATCTATACCCTATATGCATTTATTATTAAATTTATATATACTTTTTGTTCTTTTTTTCTTTAACTTGAACAGTTTATACGTTTTCATTTAAAAATGTAAAGCATTAAAGCTACAAAGTTTGCCGCTCTTATTCTGAATAAAAATGGCATCGACCATAACTCAAAAATTGTTGTTTTGTAGGGCAGCAGATTGTTGTTTGTGTTTCACTTTTATGCATTTATTGTGTATATTAATTAAACAATGGTGTAGGACTTACGTCAGTGCAGCGCCTGTGACTGACAGCGCTGTCAGCCAATCGTTGAAAAGGGAGGCGAAGAGGATTTTTCAAACCTCAGGAAATGGGAAAGGCAAAGCAACTTCTTCCATAAAAAAAAACTACCGGTAATTCGAGAGCCGTCTAGCCTCCCAGCTGGCAGCCTGCCACCTGTATCTTCTTTCAGCACCCAACAGCACCCAACTTTTTATTCTCTTTGAATGTCTTTCTTTTTGGTTGAGCTCTCAAATTCAGTTGGAAGTTTGGATATGATGTCTAGTGTAACTCGAACAGGCGCCGCGTGAGCCAGAGCCGCGAGCTCGAGTGAAGATTCGGTTAGTCTAAGCATCACTCTGCGTTTATCGGACATTATTTCATAATGTCGGGTGTGACGCTTCAGGTAAGAAATAAATGAGATATATTTTACACAGCCTAACTGATATGGTTAGTAATGGAGTAATAGGAAATACTGAAAAGTGCTGTTTGGAGATCAAGTAAGTCATAAATCAGTCAGATCGTTAACGTTCAAAGGCTCGTGTTTACATTTCACTGTGGGTGAGTCCTGTGTGGCTCAACGTGCTTCATTCAAGACACCCACAAGAATTTTTTAGTAATAGAGAAATTATTATTAAAAAAATAAAAATGTCAAATATAAAGAAAACAATTAGACAAATGCTGTGTTTATGGCATTATACCTTCCTCCTTATGTTATTGCGCCTTAATAAGGCAGTTTTCGGGCTTTGTCCGAACAATTAAATATCATTAACGTTAAACATTTTCAGGTTGAACGGGTTTGACAGGACTTCAGCTTCCTCTTCTGTCCCTCACTAGAGGCTTCAATGTAACTGAAGTTACGTGTGTGTAAAAACGAGTGACATTGAAGTCTTTTGTGATTTTAAAGTAGTTGAACGGTTCATGTTATGACAGTGGTTAATGATAGTTTCTTTATGTCCGAAATGTGGTCTGCCTGGTTTTTCAGCTTTACTGCTGTTAGGGGGTACCGATGAATGTATCAGTACAACACTATTTGACAGCTTGTTAAATACAGATCATGTTAATCTAAGTCATAGTAGTACACACTTTATGTATGTACATGTAAAGTGATTAGATTAATTTTAGTTTCAGAACTTTTTTGGTGACTTAAGACTGTCAGAATGTGTGAAACACTGCCCTCTATTTGTAACAAAGTGAGATGCAGTATGAAATTTGTTTTCAGAAAATAGCTATTAATAAATGTAGGTTTTCTTCCTTTCATTTAGCTTTTTCCTACTACTGCAGTGTGACAATATGCAAGTGTCTGGAAGTGTTTAAAGCCTCATATGCATACAGATATGTATATCTGCGTTTATGGTGTAACTGCTCCAGTTGCTATCCACATTCAGCTCATATCAGTGACCTTATTTTCACCCTGTTCATTGCAAGTCCACTTTATCAATATCAGTATGTTCACTATTTCAAATTTGTATATATGTATATATATATATATATATAAAATGTAAAATCAAAAATGCAAAACTAAAAATGTAATCACATTATAATGAGTTATAAGAAATTATACAAAATTATACAAAAAATAATGGCAATTATTTTTCAACAAACATGTTTTATTTAAAAATTATCATTTTAATATACTTATATATTATACAAGTTTTCTTTTACAGGTTTTCACTTAAACATAATTTTATAAATAATAAAATGAAAATTCAGCTTTCACCACAGGAATAAATTACATTTTAAAACATATGCAAATAGAAATCAGTTATTTTGAATTGTAACAATATTTCACAATTTTACTGTTTTTCCTGTATTTTTGATAAAATAAATGCAGCCTTGATGAACAGAAAATACTTTTTCCAAAACATCAAAAATAAAAAATAAAAAAAAACCTTATCAGACCTAACCTTTTGAACAGTGGCATATATATATATATATATATATATATATATATATGTTTACTCATTTACAGTGCACTGTTCTCAGCCTGAGTGTGTGTACGATATACTGGCAGTGCAGCTAAACAACCGCAATTAAACCACTTACAAACACAAACACGCTGTTACAAGAAAACCCACAATTCCCATCCAAACACCACTTGGGAATCTGCGCTCATTTTAACTGCAAAGACAAAAAAATAGAAAGTGAGACATTGGAAAAAGATGCAGTCTCTTACAAACAAAAACAGACTGAAATATTTCCATTGCTCCATTGCCAAATGTATTTTTTTTTTTTCAAATTTTAAATAAAACATTATTTTACATATCATATATATGTATATAAACATGTATGTAAAAGTATTAATTAATATAAATACATTTGTTAAATAATTTTAATACAATATTTATTAACCAATTACATTATATTATCTAATTATACGTTTTAATTATATTTATACATTTATATTGTATGTATATTTTAATTATATTGATATTATATATAGAATTTTCATATAATTTATTTAAAAAACATGTTTTATTTAACATTTGTATACGTCTATATGTACAAATATACAAATATAATATAAATACATTTATTAAATATTGTTAATAAAATATTTAACATTACATTATATTAACAAATTGAAGTTTAACATATCTCACAATTCTCAGTTTATATCTCGCAATTCTGAGTTTAGTTCTCACAATTCTCAGATTAGATCTCACAATTCTCAGTTTATATCTCACAATTCTCAGTTTAGATCTCACAATTCTCAGTTTAAATCTCACAATTCTCAGTTTAGATCTCACAATTCTCAGTTTATATCTCGCAATTCTCAGTTTAGATCTCGCAATTCTGATTTTAGATCTCACAATTCTGAGTTTAGATCTCGCAATTCTCAGTTTAGATCTCACAATTCTCAGTTTAAATTTTGTTTTGTTTGGAATTCAGTGGGGTCCAAAGTTATTATGTATTGGACTTTCATTGTATGGATACATTTTTTATTTATTTTTTTTTGTGCTCCACAGAAGAAAGTCAGTCATTCAGGTTTGGAACAACATGCGAGTGAGTAAATGATGAAATGATGAAACTTCAGCTACCAAAACACTCTTGATTCTAATGACTCATAATCATTTATGAGTCCATAATAGCGGATACATCAGAAATTTTGCGGTGTGTGAAGTATGCATTTAACATATGCATTTTATATGCATTGCTCAAAGGCTGCTCGTTCTCAATTATGTTTCTTTCAAGTATCAACTTTTTCTCAGATGATTAGTATCAGATGATGAGAAACATCTGAGACACACGAGACTCCATTTAATCTCATCGTGCTCTTGGAGAAACACTTGAGCCGTGAATTAGATTTTCCTGAGCGCTGCAGTGTGGCGTTACAGTAGCATACGGCTGTGGTCGAGGCTCTAAGTAAAACCAGTCGTCTGGTGTTTTCTCCGGCCGCAGGAGTAATGATATAATGGAGCTATCAGGTCCCTGCGGGCTCCGTCCTGCAGCGTTTAGAAGACAGAGACGTTCTGCTCTAATCACTGGAAATAGCTGCAATCAGACGGAGTGCCAGCTCTTATATTCTCTGCCTTATGTATTTACAGAGGAGACACAGGAGAAAATGACTCTAGTGGCACATCTCAAATGACAGACTCAAAAAAGAGAAAAAAATACACTAGATATTCAAATACAGACGCCGCGAGAGACTCTAATGCCCCCATCTGGAGGAAGAACATTCACTCCCTCAGTAATTCTACTTCCTTTGCTTTCAGTTTGTTAATTCAAAAAATATTTGTGCCTTAATTAAAGATGTATGCATTTGAATTGCATATAGAATAATTGGAAAGATGTTCTGCACTCTTATGCACTCAAAAACATCACAGCACAGTTTACATCACTCACTATTTGCATCTATTAGGTTTTATTGATATATTTTCTAAATTAATTTATTTTATACTGCTTAGAATCAGCATAAAAATGTAAACATTTATTCAGCTAAAAAGTATAAAGAAATAAAAATAAAGAAATAAAAAATCACTTTTTTTAAATATACAAAAGTAAATAAAAAGCTAGCAGTAGAACAAGCAAAATTCCGTGTAAAAATGTATTCGGATACTAGATTTATTAATGATAAAAATATAAAGTTTGCTTATTGCGTATTTTAAACATTTAGTTTATTAGGACCATTACAAAAATCTGACCTGTTTCATTTACGCATTAAAAAAACAAATATGCATCACATTAAGTTTATTAGTTTATGTTAAAACTGTAATCCGAATGGATGGAAATGTTAAATGCAATTCAAATACATCTTGAATTTATGCCTAACTTTTTTTTTTTTTTTTTGGATTATTCAATTTTGAATGATGATAATGATGTCCAACTTAATATAATTAACACCTTAAAGGGAGAGCTTAATATTCAATGTGGCATTTTAACATTTCTGCCTGATTTAGGCAACAATCTGACAACATTTATAAAAATAAACACTGACAGAATTACTGATCCATTTCTATTATTGAAAGAAAGGGAAAAAAAAACTTTTTCATATTATCTATAAGCATGTAATTTTTCAGATCTGAAATGCAAAATGCAACTCGAAATTTAGCATAGAATTAGAATTCCTTTGACTTAACAAATAACCAAACTCTCCGTTAAAATAACGTATAATAATTATAATATAACAATATCATATATAACTTAGCAGGACGATGAATG